ATTCCAACACATGAACAGGTTAAGAGTGAGATTTGCTGTCTAAACCTCTCCATCACCCTTGAGAAAATCATATTTAATCCTAGTTAACCCCCACTGTCTGCCACCGAGAATGTTGTCAGACATAATAAGGAGATGTCTTGCCTCTGTGACTGGCCCCAAGGCTGTTTATCCCTCCATGTTTACTCAGCTGTTCCTGACAGGGGGGGTCGCTGCACAGTGGAAGTGCAGCAACAAGGGCCGTTGCTGTGCCTGCATCTGCCTGCCTGGCATTTTCTTCACAGCGGAGCTGGCGCATGAACTTTGTAAACACGCCTGTTTAGCACGAATGGACATGCAGGAGATTAGTGGGTGGGGAGTGAAACATGCACAGCAAAAGACCAGCAAGTTGAGGCATCCAACGGAAACGGAAAGACTTGGGGGGGCAGGGGGGTTGGGGGAGGCAGTGACACTGTGACATATTTTCATTCTGCGCCAACTTCTGAAACTGACATACACCAAAAACAATTAATCTGATTTATGGTTGTAAACGGCCAGTCTTGGTAATGTAAATGTTGGCAGCCATCGCGCATGGCCACGTGAGATTTGGTATCATCACATAATCTTCTAAGGATAAATGCATATTGGATTGAATGGACTCGGAGCGACAAACAGCACAAGGACATTATTCTGCGCAACTACGACATTTCACAGCATTTACTGTTTCATGAGTGAATGAGAGTCAGCAAAACTCTGTTCAATCATGATTATCGTGAAAAGGGCTCAAATTGGCCGATATAGTCAGATGACTGATGAATCGACCTCATAGTCATTGTTAATTTTACCGTACTTTTCATCTTTTACACATGCAGTCGCAATGTTCATGCTTTGTCGTCCCCCCCCCCCCCACCCCCATTAGGTGCTCCGAAAGGCACTTTGGATATTTACTTTTAAAAATATGAAATACAACCATTGATTTGACTTCTGGATCAGTCAAATATACAGTGGGTGGCCTTGATGTAAAATATGCCAGAAAATAATTTGAACTGTAGGTGACAGGATGTTGGTCAGCTTGACAACAAATATATGACTGCTATAAATTACACTTGGTAGGGAGACCAGTCATGGGGAAAAACACTCTTTACAGCATAGTTAAATGTGTTTTAAATTAAGACATAAAAAAGCTGTTGCGTTTGTCTTTTATGCTGATTAAAACTATCTGATCTGATTGCTAAATTGCGGTCTGTTTTTTTTCCAGCACATCAATTTGTTTTCTCCACAGCTTACACTCCAGATGAACAAAATTCCACTGATTGGCTGTAGTAAGACTGTGGCATGAAGAGCTGATTATGATTGGACTCATCTCGCTGCTTGGCAACTTGTTTGTGCGGTCACAATCAAGACAGTGTGGTGAGAGGTGTGTGCAGCTTCCAAATAGAGCAGTGCTATCCGTATCTGTAAACATGAAGCTAGCATAGTAGGAATTTAGACGATTAGTGCTGGCTTGTCTCTTCTATTAACCACGGGCATACCGTTGTAAATTGCTTTACATTTTATGCTGTTTTTGTTTGTTTTCAAAGCTTGTAGCTATTCCATCAGTTTGATTCATTGACATACATACACATTTCTTTCTTTTTTTTTTAAATGAAAGCCGGGATCCTAGCTCCAAAACTTGACGCGACATAGAAAAACGGAGGTCAGTTTTGCATTCCACATCTCCAAAATCAGTTTGAAACAGCTGTCAGATCTCGTGTGTCCCTCTGAGAAATTTGCCGTGCACAACCTCCAAAGTCCCTCACGTGAATTCATTTCTCCCTGATGCTTTCATGGCATCATCCTGCACTACTTCAAACATCATTCTAATTTATTGCATTTCTCACGGGCCAGATGGTTTATAGTGTTGAAAGCGAAGGCAGCTGCTCCCCTAACCAACTCCCTGTGGATCAAAGAGCGCCATCTCCACATAACTCCTCAACACATTAGATATCGACTCAGCGACTCCTTTACAACCTCAACCTTTTTTTAGTGCTGTCGGAATGTTGCCTTCCTTTATACTCGGCTGACCATCACACCTACAAGTGTTGCAGCAATGATCCAGTCACATGCAAAATAACTGCGCAACGATGGACAATTGTTTTGCATGCATGCTTTTAATGCTTATTCAGCAATGGAGTTTCCACAGCCTTAAATGTAAACGTTTCAAAATGTGTTTGATGTACATGGACCATAATTATATATATTTTTTTGTGTTTGTTTGTTTTACAAGAAACGAAACGAGCCAGTCAGTGTGCGAATTCTAATAGCCTACTTGACTCTTTAAAAAGAGAAATGTCAGCTTTATTATGCGTCAATAAGCCCTCCCGATATTTAGAGAGGAGTAGCACTCATCCATACACCCACCCAGTCCCCTCAAGTGGTAGTGATAGGTAGTGAGAGGCTGGACCGAGCCTGGGATTAAGATGAGAGAGGCAGAGCGTCTCTACTGGCCTGTGAAATATTCATCAAATGAAGCAGAGGTGGGTGGGGAAGTGCGGCAGGAGATAGAGAGGAGTCCACAGGGGTAAAGAACGCCATACTTTTCAACACAGGCAAAAAATATGACACAGGAGGTGGTGGAAAGTTTTTTTTTTAATTTTTATTATTATTACTGTGAGCAGCTTCTTAAAAATCTGAATTATAGTAAGATAAAGTTGGAGGAGGGCTTTAAATGATGAAGTTATGTTGAAGCAACTGCCACCGATTTTACCTTAAGGCCTTAAAGTCAGGCGCAAGTCTGCTGGCCTTGTCACAAAGTGCAAGATCAATTCTTAACCTTGAGTGGGACTTTGATAAAGGTTTCACCCTTCTTCTATTACAACACAAACTGGAATATTTCCAACCAAGTCTGGCAACATTGAGTTGAGCTTCTGAGTTCTGTCTCTCAAGGGTACCAACATATAATAAGGAAATCTACACAGCATTTTTTTTTTTTTTGCCATACATACAGTGCAACTGTGTACCTGTAAGCTACAAATGGTCATCAGTTCAGGTTGTCACCAAGCATACTCTACTTGCTAACCCTTCTAGTGTCCTAGGGGGAGATGCTCGGGGGCGAAGTGTTATGTCCAATAATGGGTGAACAAAGACTGAGGGTTCGCCCCTCCATCACAGATTTCTATTTTCTTATTTCGGAACTGTGTATGAAACTGGTAGCGCTTTGCAGACATCAAGAAGTAACTCAGAGGGTCGCTGGTGACCACTTTGCTACACACTAACCTCTTCACTATTTGTTTGGATTTTTAGAGTTTCCGTCCATTAAGATTTGCTTTGATTAGCACACAAGACACGAAAGGGGAGACTCCCCCTTGTAGAGAATTGCCCATGCTGTTAGTTGTGGAAGAATCATAATATGAGTAAAAGTGTCGACACTTTGCCCGCATGATGTCTTCAATCTTCCAAGAATTTGGAAGTGTTTCCATGAACATTAGCGCACTAATGGATTAAAAGACCTCTTTTCACAGCTGTAGAGAGACCTTGTTAACTAGATGGCAAAGTGCATCGAAAGTCAGACATGCATATTTATGTGCATTATGTTGATGACAACAGTGCTCTGCCGGCTGCTTTTAAAGGCACTCAACCAGCAAAACTGGGTGTGAGGGACAGCTTTATTTCGCGTAGCTCTCAGATGGCTTGTGTCTGTAAGTTAAGCGCTGAATATTGGGAAAAGGCAGCTGGAAAGTACCTGAAGTACAACAACTTTGAAGTAAAATTCATCTTAACGAAAACAATGGTCAGTCAATCTTTGATGTCAGTCTTCCATCTTACAGTACGCATGATGTGTAATGCACATGTGCTTTGTGATTTATGCATTCATCTTAACAACCACTTATGCGATACATGCAGATCGTATACTATACAGTGCATGCTGGATGCTTTTTCACACATAGCATCCCAAGCTATCATCACGCTATCGACCGTTCCACAAGATGTGGCGCCCCTCTGTAATCAATCGTGATGCTGCTGAACATCAGGCACTTGTCACGCACATCCAATTTACGTTTATGCATGACTGATTTATTTATGAGTACCAGTACGTGCGGGAGAACGTATGCGGTGTGGAACGTTGCCTACACTAGCCATGCTTTCATTCTTTCAGATGGGCTGAAGCTTTTCTGACAGCAGATTTGTTCTAATCAGGGTACACGTGGGCGGCTGCGTGCCAAGTATGAAACTACAAAGATGCAGCAGATTGTTGTTCATAGTGAAAAGCGGGCTCAATAGGCAGCTCCGCAAACATGTGAGCCAAAATGATCAAAGGAGATATAGAGGAAGATATGAAAGTGATGGTTTACAATTAAAAACAGCCAAAACCATAAGCAGCAGTGCTGTTGTATTGTGAGTCTTTCGCAATGCAGTCATATTGAACTGTGATAATGTTGAAAATGTTGATTCTTATCATGGCAGGACTCCCTGCAGCTCCCCACCGCGCTCACCCGGACTCTCTCTCACTTTGTATTGCTTCCCTTCCACATTCACGCCTTGTATGGCTGATACCTGTAGACTTGCAAAGGCGCCAATATATTTATTAAAAAAAAAGTTCTAAGCAGGTACATTGTTGTCAATGTGCGTACACCTTCATTATGTTCATTTAGTCACATCCTACACACCTCTGCTGCTAACATTTGTTAATATCGCACCAATCTGGCAGGTAAACTTGGTCACCATAGTAACAGGAGGTTCATGACATTTGACTTGAAGTGCATGCAAGTAAAAGGAATGTTGAATCACCAGCCAACAGGTCTCTATAACCTCACTTTCCTTGAAAATGCAAGAGAAAAAATGTTCATCTTGAATTTCTCGTCTTCCGCCGTCTCCCGTTTTCCACTCCGAGTCCAAAAGGCTCCGGTTCTTTTCTGCACCATCGGCCACAAACGGAGACAAACACTGACCCCTGGTGGAACCATTAAAAAGTGTTTCACCGCTCACCCTAGCCAATTGATGGTTTTGCAGGAGAAAAAAAACATCTCCCTGGTCTATCTTTTCAGGTCTTCACTCGCTATGGTAAATGCTACACCTTTAATGCCGGCGATAAGGATCGTCCGCCCCTCATAACCACCAAGGGAGGGATGGGGAATGGACTGGAGCTCATGTTGGACATCCAGCAGGACGAGTACCTGCCTGTCTGGGGAGAAACGGGTGAGTTATTGTTCACTTTTTGGAAAGCATTGTGCCTGGGTTGCACTAACACTCCTTCCTTGGCCACTTGTCAGAGGAGACGTCATTTGAAGCCGGAGTCAAAGTGCAGATCCACAGTCAAGATGAACCGTCTTCCATCGATCAGCTCGGTTTCGGAGTGGCACCTGGATTCCAAACGTTTGTCTCTTGTCAGGAACAGAGGGTAATTTTTTTTTTCTTACATCACTTTTGCATTCTTCTTCCATTGCAATCAGTTTATTTAATGCTTTCTTAAAATGGACAAAATGTTTCTGTAGTCACATGTTCCGGAGTCGTCTGAGTTGTGTGTCAGATTCAACTGTAATGTTGATCTCCTGTCTCATGTTCTGTAGCTTCAGGCTAGTTTTCATGTGTTGTCAATTAAAAAAAAAAAAAAAAAAAAAAAAACGTTTCCACTATTTCTGGAGGACAATATATAAAGAGAGAGAGAGAGAGAGAGAGAGAGAGAGAGAGAGAGAGAGAGAGAGAGAGAGTGTGTAGTATCTTTGTTCTTCTACTTTGCTTTAAAAAAATTCCTTGCAATCACCGGTTATGCATTGTTGCAGCTGATATATCTCCCACCACCATGGGGTGACTGCAAGGTGACACCCATGGACTCCGACTTCTTTGACACTTACAGCATCACAGCCTGTCGTATTGACTGTGAAACACGCTACCTCGTGGACAACTGCAACTGCCGCATGGTGCACATGCCAGGTAGGAAAGCATCCGTCAATGATCTATACGCTTGAAATAAAATACATGTGAACCTTTTGCAATGAACAAAGATCCCCGCATACATTGCTGATGAAAATAAAATCTGATCTTGTGTACGTCACAAGAGCTGACAGCAGGGCTGGATGATTAAGTTTCAATGGTGATTTCGATTTTGGCATCCCTTGATCTTTAAAACGTCCAAACTGAAGAAAAATGATGAACGTGCCGAACAAATTCCGGACATTGTGAGACTACGCTGAATGAACCGTGTCGAATGTACACTTAATCCATGCTGTCAAACAACATAAAGTACACTTACTGCATGCAATTGCGAGACCTGAAGGACTTCACACATTTTTGTTCGTGTGTTTTGGTTGCAGGCGATGCACCCTACTGCACCCCGGAGCTGTACAAAGAATGTGCTGATCCCGCTCTGGGTAACAAAGAGACTTTGTTCAATTCTGGTCTCGACCCATACACATTACTGCAGTTTATATCATGACATGACCTATTTCGACCAGAACACTTTCAAATAATAAGTCTGTGATCTTATATCTTGTTTTTTTTTTGCCCTCCAGATTTCTTGGTTCAGCGAGATAATGATTTCTGTGTGTGTGAAACACCATGCAACATGACCAGATACAGTAAAGAACTGTCCTTTGTAAAAATCCCCAGTAAGGCCTCTGCTAAATATCTAGCAAAGAAATACAACAAATCTGAGCAGTACATCAAGTAAGTACCAACCAATTTTGAACAATTAGTCTGTTTCATTCGAAAACTTTTGAAATGCGTATTCCAATAGGACGGCTCTCTGAATGCCTGCCCATCCGTCAACTGTGAAATGAAATAAGCAGGAAATCTATTGTTAGCTGCCCATTTCTGAAAATGTGTCCGTCGGCGAGTCGTTCTGAATGTTGAGCAATTGTGACGTCACAATTTGGCAAATATACTTCACACTGCCCCAACATCAAGTTTTTCCTCCGTGACTAGGAAGCTAGTCACGGAGTGATGGCTGAAGTATGGCCAACAGACTTCAGTGTAGCGCCATCAAGGAAAAGCCAAAAGGTAGGTAGAGCTGCAGCATTAGCTGACCACGTTCTCAGCGTTCTTGGTTATCGCTTCTAATAACCAGCGTACAAAATTGTCGACAGGGTGGTGTAGCAGGTATTTGTTTGGGTGATGTATCCACTGCATGCACCACATGCACTGATCTGTACACCACTTTAGAAGTGTAATATGGCGGCTTGGTGATGAACTGCTGCCTGAGTGAAAATACATATGATGCTCTTATTTTTATCTCAATGGGAGGGATCCAGTTTCGCTTCCGAATAAATAGTCACTCACCTCATTGCAACACCCAACGCTGATGTCATGGTAACAAAAGCAGTTTTCTGCATCGGCCCCAATGTAGAAGGCTAATTTGCATGGGACAGGGCAACCCCCTTAAATCACGCTTGTGTCAGAGAGACTCAAAAAAATTAGGTAAAGAGTGCATGAGAATTCCTGATCCTTGGCTATTATGGGGAAATGTGTCACAGCCCTGTTATAAAGATACATTCGAATTGTTCTTTCACTTTTGAAAAATTGCAGAGTTTGCTTTAAATGAAAAATCCAAACTCTGAAATCTGCAGGGAGAACCTCCTGGTTTTGGACATCTTTTTTGAGGCTCTCAACTATGAAACCATTGAACAGAAAAAGGCTTATGAAGTGGCCGGACTATTAGGTATGGTATTTTGTGAATCATCTATCACTGGAAAGAGTCCATTTGGATTTTTTTTTTAATGTTTTGACGATCATTTTAACTTGATTATCATGCATGGCTTGTTTTGAATATTCCAGGTGATATTGGTGGTCAAATGGGACTTTTCATTGGCGCAAGCATACTTACCATTCTGGAGATATTCGACTACCTTTATGAGGTGAGTCACTGCTGAAGAAATGCAGTGGATATAAAAAGTTTACACACCCTTGTTCAAACGCCAGGTCCAACAGGGAGCATTTCAAAACTGTTTCTATCACGACTCTAACCTGTACATATTAAAATCTTTTTGAAAGGGAGAGTAAAAATGAGCAACTGACATACCGTATTGGCCCGAATATAAGACGGTGTTTTTTTGCATTGAAATAAGACTGAAAAATGAATTGAAGTCCAAGATGGCGCCCGAGTAGGCAGCCATCTGCAAGTGCTCTCATGAGCCTTGCTTTTTTTGTTGTTTTTCTGTTTGTTTTGTCACTTTGTGTTTGTTGTTACGTCGTGTGGACCTGATGTGGACTGTTTTCAGCATTTTTTGGCCACGACATTCATCAAGGAGGAGACTCGGTGCTTGGTGGTTTTGCCTTCTCGGCAGCATGGGTATGCCAGCACTGTTTTTGATTGGGAGGAATGTCGGCGCCATTTGACTGTCGTTGCTGGACAGCTCCGGGGGCGCTTGTGTCTTGCGCCTGTAATGGGCAGCATTTTCACAGCCCCGCTTTGTTCAGCGGAGAGATCGGTGCTGTTGAACGGTCTGCGGCTGGATGGATGCAAGGCTTGAGGAGCCGACGATGAGAAGAAAGGAGCGTTAGCGCAGAGCGCCAATGCGGATGTGGAACCGGGAGTCGCGGCTTGGA